ATCGTCGATTACATTTGATGTAAAGCAATAGTTAACACATGCCACTTTGCAACGCCAATTATTTATAATAAAATTAAAATAAACTTTGTTATAAAAATACGACATCTCGATCGATATTGAAATATGCCTTGCAGTATCACAGCATTCAGTACTCGACGCGTATCGTTCATTCCAGTTATTGAGGGTTTTTTCTGTTTGGTTTCAGCGGTATTTCTATATGGAAGTGATGGGGGCCATTCTAAACGAAGAGATCTATTGCACAGCGCCAACCAGTGTTGTCCTGGCTTCATACGCTGTACGTATGGCGTCGTTAGATATTAAGGACGACGACAATTGATATAGTAACAGAGGGAAATGCTTTTTCATAGCATTTTTGCGTTGCTCTCCACTCTCAATGTAAAACGTAACGAAAGCTTTAAGCCTCGTCCACATTGATACGGTTTTGATGCGTTTTTCACAGCACTTTTACATTGCTCTCCACTCTCAATGTAAAACGTAACGAAAGCTTTAGGCCACCTCCACATTGATATGGTTTCGAACTCTTTTTGCCTTTTCTCCATCCGCAAGGAAATGCCAAACGCACAAAAACGTTACAGAAACGTATTGATGTAAGCGAGACCCTTAGACCATAGTCTCAGTCTTTCCAGCCGTTGTCGTCCGCCATACTTTCAGGGGTAAACTGAGTCATAGTACTTTGGTAATCTTGCATACATGGGACTGCATTTTTGTGTATTTTTTTCAGTGCCAAATAAGATATGGTGATTACAATGAATCTGTGAAATTGGAAGACAGCAATCTACTACCTTCAAGGTTTGTCAAACAAGTCTTGATTTCTTTAAATTTNGAAAATTGTAAAATGTATTTTAAAAAGCTGCTTTCTCTCACAGAGAGGACGCCATGATGGAATATCTCAAAGTGGCCCAGGAACTGGACATGTTTGGAGTGAATTACTTTGAAATCAAAAACAGAAAAGGCACTGAACTACTTCTTGGAGTTGATGCCCAGGGTCTCAACGTCTATGAAAAAACAGACAAGTGAGTGACATATAACAATCATTTTTATGTCGCTCCTTGGACGCCCACCATGCGAGATACCACCGAGATACCTTTAAATTCAGGGATGAATCTGACTAGAAGACGGAGGCACTTATATAATAGAAATGAAATTCTTTTCTGTTTTTCTATTTCAGACTTAGTCCAAGGATTGGCTTCCCATGGAGTGAAATCAGAAATATCTCCTTCAACGATAAGAAGTTTATCATCAAATCAATCGACAAGAAGGCACCGGTATGTCAGACATGCCTTTAAAACACCCAGTGCGCACATTATGCTTTGGGGGCCGCGCGCGAGGGCCTGGCGGCGGCCATTTTCAGTTTACCACAAGTCTATACTTAACTGCAGTGCTTCTTGAATCCGCTCATATCTTGACCATCTCACCTTCTCTAATCACTTTCAACGCTAATATTAGAGTTTTCAGCCATCGGACATTCCTTTTTTGGTGAGATTTGGACACTGCAAGTATTTTTTCTATCTAAAAATCTTAACAATAACAGAGGCGCGCAAAGCATAATGATGCGAACTGGCCTTTAAGAGTTGTTCAGTCTTGTCAAAGACATTGTAAAATAAATAAATCAACTGTACAAACTAAATAGCTCTATTTAGTTGTATTTAGTAAATCGTGCATGCGGTGCGCAAATTAAATTGAATTGATACAAATGAAGCACTTGATACCGTCTTGCTTCAGGTCCACTTTTAGTACAAATTAGTGCTACTTAGATTTTGTTCTGTTGCAAGGTTTTTAAAAGTGCGATCACTCTCCTAACCAAATATTGCTAAATACCGTAATATAGTGTAAATTAGAGAATAAAAAGTAAAAGGAGTTACCATGCTTGCAGTCTATCCATTAACATTAACCAGTAAAAACAATGAATGATATATTATGTCTGTAGGATTTTATCTTCTACACAATCAGCCTCCGTACGAATAAGCGCATTCTGTCTTTGTGCATGGGAAACCATGAGTTATTRATGAGAAGAKGAAAAGATGACACGATTGAAATACAGCAGATGAAAGCTCAGGTCAAAGAGGAAATGGACGCCAAATACGCTGAAAAGTAGGTCTAACTATTCCATGTTCATTGATGCGCCTTAGTTGGAGGAGGGAGGGGGGATTTGCGCACAACGTMATAGCTGTTGAGGTATTCATTGGCCGTGTCTACTTACGACGTCATGATTTTGATTCGAAGTACATCTTGCATTGTTTCAAGAGCTTAATCTCTTTCACAGTTCACAGTTACTTGTGCCATCTTGCGAAAGGTACTCGTTGTATCGGAGCGAGACGACCGTTGAGCTAGAAACCTTCTTTCACATCTACAGACAATTATTCACAGGTATCTATCACTGTATGCTCAATGATGGCGTTCTTGCTTCGATYCAAAAGCACTGCTACCTTAGCTTTCAAGATGGCGCAGGGAACTGTGAAGAAGAGTATGACWGGGATCTCTTTAACATGTACCACAAACTTCGCCCAGCTAGCTAGTGCTGAATACAGATTTCTCTGGATCTTTCAGACAACAGCAGAAACTTTTAAGAGATGAAAAAGAGGCCATTGCAGAAGAACACAAGCGTTTAAAGGAACAAATGGAGGAGATTAGATTGAGAGAACAGGAGCTTGAYGAAAAGCTGTCAAAAAAGGAGCAAGGTTAGGACAGAGTCACAGGCAGCCTAACCACGATGTTTTGGTATTTAGAGTTCAATGCAGGCAAAATCATGAGAAATGCTGGATCTCTAAACACCTTCAAACATTATTGAACGATGCCATATTGTTATAGATTATCAGCAACGTTTTGGACAAGAAACAAAATGTCTAATACTTCATCCAACAACTGATCCATTGGCATCAAAGAAGGTTGCCAAGTACCTTCAATCTGCATTCAACATTTGATGATCCGACCAATCCATCAAATATATACTCTATATAAAATGCAAAAAAGTGAATTAAATTAAAGTGCACCTATTAAGCCTTTTTTCAAACGGAAAGAGATAAACTGTTGCCATTTTTTTCACCTCAAAATGATATCCAAACAAAAGCGTAAAATCTGATACCTTGCGATTCGCACTCCCTTTTATTATGCTTCGTTTTCTCATTATTTACAGAGAAGGAAGAAAGTGAGAGAAGGGCCAAGGAGCTGGAAACACTCAAGGAAGAACAAGAAGATGAAATGAAGAGAATTGATGAAAGAAGAGCAAAATTAGAGGAAGAATTGCTGCAACAAAGAGAGGAGTTTGCAATCAAGGTAGGTGTGGTATTACAGGAAACTGCTAGACGCGGGAGGGAATGTTGAGGGGTTAAGATTTGAGAATGCATTGGCGGATCCAGCTATAGTAGATGCAGGAGGTGCTCTAGTAATATGCTCCACAATTTTTTGTGCTGAAGACTGAAGATCTTATTTGTCCTTCAGTCTGCGGAAGATTCAGAGAGAATCAACGAACAACTGCGCCAAATGCAGAAGGAGAAAGACGAACTGCAAACTAAGATTCACGTTACAACAATGGAACAAAAGCGACAAAAAGAGCAGTATGATATACGTGAAAGAGAAGTAGAGTTAAAACTGAGAGGTRTAAGCCCTCAAACTTCCATCGACGAGGATGTTGAAGCTGTGAGCGTAGACATGGTCCAACAGACTCCGAGAATTAAGATTGTGAATGCAGACGAGGATCGGCAGGCTAAATATGGCATACAAAARAAACAATTCCAGGCGAGTTCAACTAAGCATTTTTAACTGAAACAATTAACTTTTAATTGAATTTGATAGGCGACTTCTTCAAATAAAAGCCGCACTCGCGCACAAAAAAACACAATATCAAAAAGCTTTTATATCAAGATGYTATAACCTTTATACAAGGCGCGCTGCGATTGGTCAACAAGCAACCATTATGAGATGCAAACAAAGCGGGCTTATTTAGGACCGCGCGTTTCTGTTCTCTGATAAGTACACATTGAGAGTATGGTTAGTACAGGAGAAGAATTCTCTCGCTTCTCTCCCAATGTGCTTACATCAGAAAACAGATATAGTAGCTTCCGTCAGTTTATATTTCTTTTATAAAAATTTCGCGATTCTTTCTTTTACGTACCGAATCAAGACCACAATACAATGCAAACTGCTACCTCAGAAAAGACCAATGATATAGCGGTTTTGATCTCAAAAATATCCCTCGATACCAAGCGAAGTCTGTGCAAAAAAGAAATGGAAATGACGATTGTTTCTTGTCTTACCACAGACTTTGTCTGAAGAACTTGCACAATTCGAAGTGAGGGGTGAAATGACACAACATGATAGAATCGCCAAAGAAAACGAGCAGAGAGGACGCGATAAGTACAAAACGCTCCGAGATATCAGACAAGGAAATACAAAACACAGAGTCGAGCTGTTTGAGTAAGTATTCTGCGTTCTTTCTCTGCTTTGAGATGACTCTCTAACAAAAGTTTTGCCTATTCAGTTACGGTCACGCGTCACGCAACGAAGGAGAATAATCTTTGCGTGACGCCAATWACCTTTRATTCTTAACTAAAAACTGTATTTGTATATGTCTCACAGAAACCAGTAAGGAGTAYCAAGTCTTAATTTTCATCAAGCWGTTCAAGGTTTGGCTGGACTAGTATAGCATGGCCTTAACCTTTCCATAAGCCTTTTCTGCAGAGATAGCATTGCATTGTGGTCTAGYTTCAMTACAAATAMCTTCTGTTCYCGATGCCAAATATGGCGTTGTTTGTACCGAAGCTAGACCACAATGCACTATGATTTTGCATTTCAGAAAAGGTCTATSYTATAGTTGCACTTCCGCAAAACACACYTGACYTCATTAGTGGAGAAGAGGTTRACATCAAGATACTTGACGTACTTCAAGGACTATTTTCGTGTAATCTTTTGTATACTCGTAAAAATCAATAAAATTCATATGTACTTGAAACGCAAGCAAATACCAGCAAATGCATGGCAAATCAGTGGCAAGGCTTTATTTTTGCTAAACAGATCAATAGTCTTTTATAACCAACCACGTACTTCAATTAAACCACAACACCTCGTATATATGTAAATTTGTTTTTTTAGCTGTATTATTTTCTACGTGTTTGCAAACCTTTTCAGAAGGAAAAAGAAGAAAAACTTATTTCACCATCTAATAACCTTCATAATTTCGTCAACAAGGTTACGGGCCATTCTACGATCTTCTGTACTTAGTTTTTTGAATCCCAAGATGGCTAGTCGCATCTAAAGCGCTTAGTAAGAGTGTCAGTCTTATTATGAATTAGGGGAATGAGAGCTAACTTGCTTAAAAAGTGCATTAGACAGTAGTATATTAAAAATATTTTAAAGATCTTTGGAGGAACGCTTACAAMAAGAATACTTTATGCGAAAAATGGATAGTGGTGTGCAAAATTTCCACACATTTATACCGCGCATTTCAATTTCTGAAATTTCTGTGGTCAGAAGGAACTGGAAGTACGCGTGCAAATCGTACGCACCCTACGAAGCGAAAAAACTGGCAAACATTGAGATCTGTCTTCAGCAAAAGTGAGCTGACRCCAAACTTGACTGTTRCCATGGTTTAGTCACAGCTACGGTTTGAATAAGTTTCCTTAAACGAATTCGAGATTTGTTAAAGTGCAGCAAAAGAAAAGACTGTAATCTGTATATATGTAAACAAGTTGTTCCTGAAATCCCKAAACTCCCATACTGTTYAAATACATGACAAAGTCTATCCGCTTATGACAGCRCGCACGAAGTCTTCATAGTAAACTTGTCCTTGATTGTCCTCATAGCCAGCTAAAAGAGAGTCGACCTCTTCTTCTGATAGCTTATCACCAAGGCTCGTTAACACGTGACGTAATTCAGCGGCACTAATGAACCCATTGCAGCTGCGGTCAAACACKCGAAAACACTCCAAGAAATACTCCTCGTCGACATCTACATTGGAAAATACTTCGTTAAGAGGACTATTTTCACTAGRTAGCAAGTAAGCGGGGTAGTTGTTGCAGGTTAATGACCTTGTACAGCTATCCCGTCACGAACGATTGACAACGCGTGGCTCCAAGTACCTGCTGTACCAACTATCTAGCTAGTTGCCTTTTGACAAAGCGTCAAAACAGTCTGACAGCCACGTGGAAAATGTAAAATACATATGGTTGCCTTTATTTATCCATGGCTAAGTCATAAAAGAATCAAATTCTGCTTGAATGAAAAAATATATTTAAAAAATAGGGAGCCACACATTTCGCTCTTGATCCAGCTTTTGTGATTGTGAAATGTACTTAAAAAAAATGCCGATTGAAATCAAAGTTATCACAATAAATTCTTAAGAAAATGTAGAGCGAAAAGCAGACTTTCAAGCTACAATAATTGATGTTTTTTTTCATATATAACATTCAGTGACTGTCATTTCAAATTAATTTTTGCCAAATGCCGAAACATCATCGATCGCTAGTACAAAACCGACATCGCTTATACTAGTAAGCTTAAGCTTAACATCGAAAGAGCTTGCTTACCTTTGCGGCCTTTCTTGTGGCGATCTCGTAGACTCTGAAACATCGGCAAAAACTCAGAAAAACTAACTCTTCCTTCCCCAGTAGGATCAATTCCATTGACCAATTTTTGAACTTCATACTCCGTCGGATTAATACCGAGGGCTCGAAGAACTTCCCCAACCTGACAGCTTTCGATTTTGTTGTCGCCTCTCTTGTCGTAAAGCAGAAATGCTTCRTGMATATCGATAATATCGTCACTGCTCATCCTTTSGCCTTATTAGTGTACAATTTGTAGTTTAAACTAGATTTTTTAGGCTTGGGAATTGAGTTTAAGTGCGTTGGAGCACGAATCACACCTTCCAGGTTGRCTTGTAGTTGTATTTTAAGCGCCACTCGACTCTTGTTCAAAAACACTCTCATGTAAAATTAATAATGCAGGTGTTTTTGCGGGGAAATATGGTAATGCCAATGTTAAAGGCCTTACCGTTGTCGTAATTTGAGCAAGATCTTTTGTTTGCTGTGGTTAAATTACAGACAAAAGTTTTCAGTATTTGTTCAGTCTGTGTGAAGAGATGTCACTTTGTCACGTGACTAACAGGTGTATGGCAGCGCAGGAATCCCAATCGATAACAAATCAAAGCACAAATTCGTCAGGGGGTTTTGTCAGGGGGATGTTTTATTTGAAAAATGGTATGTTCAGACATAAACAAATATAGWAAAAATTGGGGAAATTTCAGACGGATCTATTGGGGGTCTAAATCTTACTAAATCTTATAATTAAAATCAGTAGTTTATTTATTTTTAATGATCAGAAATGCAATAAATATTTTTTTAATATATTTTCAAATAATCATCTAAAAACAGTTATATCAAAAAATAGATAATTAATACACACCCATAATTTATAAAGTTACCATATATATAAAATCTATAAAACATACTTAGAGACATTTTAGCCACAATAACAATTATCTTTCTTAGTGGTTTGGTCACATGATATAAATAATTATAGCCACAAAAAGGTGCAGAGGTCAACAAAGTCATGGAGAGTGCTATATAAACTCACTCCCATTCTTTGCCCTTAGTACCCTTTCCCAAATGGGCAGATCCAGTATTTTCTTTAGGGAGTGTGCTGGTATGTTCTGAGGAGAGATTGTACACTACAATATGCGATGGAGACTTGAAACAACATAAAGTGTTAAAAGTACAATTAGGTCCCAGAATTGGGGGAGGGGAAAGAAGSATCCATCCCATTCCCAGTCAACCCAGATCCACCCAGAACTTTCTTTTTTTCCATTAGTTTGTTAGTTTTACAGGGGTGTAGTTGCTGGTGGCCTTAAACAATACTTCGGCACAAAGCCTTGGTTRTTTGACGAAGGCGAATAGGCCCATATCCAACCCCTGTAGTCTCTATTCTTCATGTCAGCATAAATCCAATCTCCCTTATATACCGTCATTTCATCTCCTTTTTGTGCGATATAAGTATCTGTGCAAACAAGTTCTTGTCCATTAAGAAGGAGATCATTACTGTTTTTGCGTAGACCAGATCTGACTGGACTAGAAAGAAGTGTCTGTGGTTTACATTCTATAACTACAGGAGAGAATTTAACTTGTTCTTTCTTAGTCATGGACGAGTAAGATTTTGAAGCAAGGGTCCCACCAAGTTGTGACATTTGAAGGTTTTTCTTTTGTGATAACATTGATATGCGACCTTTTGAACTTTGAACATGCTCCCGACTACCTGCAGATATTGGTTGTTTCTGATTTTGACTMTGATGAACTTGAATTTCATTTGTTTGAAAGGAATTCCTAAGTGTGCTTGTTAGAGCAACCTGGGATAGACTAGKAGGTAAAGCTGATTCCATATCAGACATCGAGGACATAGGTAGTATTGGCGTACTGGGTTGAGGGCTTATAGTCTTATTAGGGCTATAACTCAAGGTACTAGAAAGAGGTATAACRCTTGCATTGCTTGGTGATGTCARGCGAGGTGAAGAATCTATTGGCAACTGATTAGCATAAATTACAGTRGACGGCCTCGTMGGTGATTTGTAAATTGGATTATTTGCYGCTTTTGCAGAAGCAATAACATTATTGTTCATTTCMTGATAAGATCTTCTCTTTTCTTTTTCTTGAGAAAGTTGAAATGTGGTTGGTGCTGGTATAATAGATGTGGGATGAGGGGGAGTGCGTTGATTGTCCATTGCWATATTRGGGCTTGACCTTGACCTCAGACCTTTCAATAAAGAAAAWGRCATATGATGATTARTTKATTAATATTTKATTAATATTTGAGGGTGAATTTATGATTTCCATAAAAAGGTAACTTCGGAATAAATTGCTCAAATATGCATAGTTAAATATAGATTAAGGCAAATTATTATTTTCTATAATTATATTTTTTACTCTATAATTATATTTTTTACAAGTAAATATTGGAGAGGGAATATTCTCTATTTTTATCGGAGCTTTTTAACTTTTTGTCCTAAAAATTATGCACTGCATTCTTGTAATTCCAGACAAATCAGATTCTACTTAGACAAATCATTGAGAAGCAATTACAACAAGCGGTCAATATAGTTGGATATCGAACCCCTGTAGCTACACTAATTACTTCGACAGCTTAAAAAATGTTTAACACAGTTTAATTGACTGATATAAGTCTTTCAAGTACAAAATATCCAAAGTTCTCTTCTTTAAACAGAGGTCTTTCGTTCTGAAATGACTACATTCTTGTTCGCTTTGACACCGACGCTTYAAACGTAGAAAGTAAACAAAACTTAGAATATTTCTTTTCATATGTACTTTGATTTTGAAGAGCGATCAGTAAGTGTTCTACGAGTGCCAAGCTACACTGGGGTCAACATAAACAGGGTTAAACCAAAAGATAGCAAAGGAAAAARGCTGTATTTTTGATCCGGAAGATTTTTCAAAAGAGCTTTATACCGCYGAAGCCATCACAAATATAAACGGATCTGGCATTTGAATGGTTTCTTTGGAATTTTGTAAATAAAGCAAACAGAGCCTGAAAATGGCTTTAGTTTATACAGCACATCAACAAAGAATGCCTATACAGATTCTAATAGTGATGTACAATTAAAATAGACTGTAAATCGAGCTATTAGCACCCTGRAGTGATAATTCATAACTTACCAGTTTCTGCCAGATTTCTCGATGCGATTTGCTCGAGTTTGGTGACGAAATCCTTTGGAACAAATCCTTCMCGGTTGCTCATCTTTCTCACCCAGAGCCAATCTCGGTCATCCCTGTTTAGAACAACAACAATTTCGCCTTTTCGGACAGAAATATCGTCRTCATCTATCGCATCAAAGTCAAATTTWACCACAAACTCCCCATAGTTTTGTTTATAAAACTCTGACGGTGCAAGATCCTGAAGCGTGACATTCAAGTGACTAGGAAGGGAGGTATTTTTCTTGTTCGTGGAAGTAGCTTTAGCTTTTTCTTTACGCTTTTCATATTCTTCCTCTGAAATACAATATGTGAAGGGGATAAAACCTTCTCTACCGTCACCTTTAACGACGTAAATCCAATCATTTTCTTGGTATAAAGCTTTCACTTGCTCATTGCGTTTGACCGGTGTTTCGTCTTCAACACACGGAATGAAGTCGTGCAGTACAAACATTCTCCTTGGTTCAAAATCYCTGTCTTCCACATCGTCGCCGTCAGTAATTTTCATTAAAGAATCAGTACTYTTTGCACCAGTAATTCGTCCTTTTGGAGCTCCATTCTTGGCTAAATTTTCGCCATCTTTCTCTGGTAAAATGTTGACATATTTCAGTTATAAAATGTAAACATTAGCACTATCAAATTTTTAAGTTTGTAAAACTTACTTTTTCTTCTTCTTCGTGGAATTCTCATAGGACAGAGAAAAGCCATTTTGAGTTTTTAATATAAAGAAGCTAAAAAACTAAGCAAGGAAACTAAAGATACGACGAACTGTCCAAAACTCTGATCTGATGATCCACTCTCCGTACAACGTAACGGGACCGGTCGAGGGTACCATTTGAAATCCCAGGTGGGGGAGGGGAAGGGGAATAACCTGTCACTATAAAGAAATAAAATTTCTTTTGGCTTTGCATCCTCAATTAATTTTTAAACGTCTCATTTAAGACTTTGAAAGCCCAATAACCCAGCGGTTAACCACAAATAGTGTTCGATCAATGCCCTTTTCTTATGTATGACGTCAAAGCGGAAGGCATGAACAATGTTGCTGCCATAGCGATCACCGTGCTTCATATTCGCCGGTCATTGAGAGTAGAAAAGAGTCACGTTCCACATCTCCAAACTCTTTACAACTGTTTGTATTACAGCTGTTACCGTTAAAAATGATGCACCATTGACGCTTTGCAACTATTCCAATTGATTTCATTAATTTTGCTTGATTCTGTTCAAATTTATTTTTAGAATCATGCGTCSCGGAGCTTTTATAGGCAAAATAATTAGTGTCTCCTCCCATAAATCCGGACTCCTTGGATGCAGAAGGGTTTCAAAGCTCCTGAATTCCTGATTCCTGGATTTAGAACAAAAACATCTTAGTTTTTTGTCATTAGTACTAAAACTTTGAAATCACTATTCCTAAGATCCCGAAACGTTAGTCGATTTTCTTTGCTTATGGTCATAAAATATGTCGCATTTCTTTTTTTGCAAACTGATTATTATAAAAAAAATGTAGCGTTCAATAAGCGTGCCATGTTTGCAAAGAGATGTCACCCGAGATCCTTTACTRGCCTCGTGATTAAAAGTCAATGATAAATTATTTGTATAGTGCGAATACAGTTTTTACTTTTACACTTCCAACACTAGATTTAGTGCTTTATCAGTGTTTTATAAGTGCTCATTGTGCTCTTGCATCACCGTTTAAACAAAACCAAATGGCCGTTGAGGATCTCGGGGGAAAATGGGCGTGAAACACGGCAAAAGTCATCCTCAAAACGATATATAAATAGGAATGATGCAGGTGCAACCAGACACAAATGAAAGTAATTATTCGTAATTTATTATTCAATTACTGAACAGCTTAAAATAGATGAACTCTAAAAGTAAACAATGCCTTTCGAACAGATAGAACTAATAGACAGATAGTTTGAACAGATGGGACTGGAAGTTAGAGAATTCTAAGGCGCGAAATAACGATAAWAACATAGTGAAACTGTGATAACGATGAAGTTTTGATGATGATTCCATCTCAAGCAAATATTAAACGGTCTTCTTTGGCAACTTCGTGACTGATTCCTCTTGTTTTGATTGGGAAAATAAATAACACTTTTTTGTTGACAACTTGCAAAAGGTGTAGTTCCGTTTTGCGCACTTGGCTTGTGGCTATTCACCAAGGTCGCAGCATTCACACATCTGTCAAGAGTACATTTTTGTTGTTGTAACTGCTTTGGAATCTCTTATAGTAAGTATAGCTGTTTTGAGCAACTTGGCTTGTGGTGCACACTTTTGTTGAGTCGGTTTCTGAAAATACATTTTCTTGTATAACTGCTTCAGTGGGATCACTGCTTACAAGTAAAGAACAAGAAATACATATTATATTCGTGAAAGAAAATAAAGACAAATAGTTTGCCATTTATGGTTTCCAAAAGCGAAGCAAAGGAGACTGAGAAAAATGGAGATTCTCTGAAGGAAGGATTTCATAACTTTTTGATCTGCGTTCCGTTTTATTTTCACATGCGCGCAAAGGCGTTCAACTTCCCTTCTCTATCTCAGTTCTTTTCATTTCCAGTTACCTTTTATCCAGCAAGTGCAGTGCGTCCAAACAGCTCTTATTTAGGGAGATTATTTACAATAAAAATATTGTAGAATTTGGATTTTCAGTTTCCGATGTTTTTTCTTAGATTAATAGCAACATCCAATATAAACAATAAACTCTTCCTACATAAATCACTCGTGTAGTCTTTAATAAAAAAGTTTTCGTATTTTATAGGAAAAACTGCGGTTTTATATTTATAAAGAAAGGTTTATAAGTTCTTTATAAG